TTTTTTTTATTTAATGGATGTTGTAAAGCACCGGAAACTACGTATGGATTATGAATATGAGTATAGATAAGTACTAATAAACGTGATGAAATCCGTAAAAGTACTTTTAATCAATATATTAAATAATATTAAATAAAACATACATTTTTTACGTTAATACTGCCAACGTACTCTAATAACAATGTCACACAATAGTTTACATTTTAATGATATTTTTATCTCAATATTTTAAAAGGTATCTAATCTCAAATATAAAAAAAACATACTAAGTGTATGTTTAACAAAACTTGTTAATATAACACATAAATTACAAATATATTTATTTAAATTAGATTAAGAGCCGTTCATAAATACTGGGCACGCGAGAGTTAAAAATTGACGAATTTATTCCACTTTGACTTTGATGTGGAAACCTAAAAATAAAATATAAGAATAATTAGCAGATTTAAATATAAAAAATTTGGCATAATTATGATAACTCATATATGTTTCTACAAAAAATGTGTATAATAATATATTCGTAATATATTTAAGTACCCACAGAAATGTCACATCTGAACAAATTAATTTCATAATCTATATTACGTGACACAAGATGGCGTCTTAGGAATAATTTGTTTTATTACTAATTTATAATACTTTTTTATTGATTAAGTATCTTATTAACCAATGAAAAGTAACTCCTTGGTTTTTACTGATATTTCTTGAATTATTTGTGCAATATGTAAGTACGCACGACGGCATATTTTCATCACGAGATTTTTTTTAAATCAACACAACACGTGTCAACTCTACAAGCGCCTAGCGAGTGACTGATTAAAGTGCAGTGTATGCACCGCAGTTGAATGGAACATAGTAGCTGAATGCAGTGTCGCCTCTAGTACGTAGTACATATTAGCTCAATGGTTGTCAGTAAATTATTTATTGACAATATTTAATTTTTTTGTTGCCCATAAATAATTACTGACAGATTGACTGAATATGTTTTTTCTCATCAAAATTTGGAATCTCTACATAAATCTTTTATATCTCTAGATATGAGTGTGGTGCGTACTGCGATTGATGATTGGCCGCGTCGATAAAGAACATGATTCAAAATAGGGGAGGGCATTTGCATAATGTAAATAAAATTGTGTTCTAAATTAAATTACCTTTCATTTCACGTATAATTTCTATATAATTATCAAAAACTGTATCATTAATTTTAGGAAAAGTTTTTGACAGAACTTATGACCTAAGTAAATAATATTAAAAGTGTAATGTGAAAAGTGAAATTCTACGAATGACGGCCAAATTTCCACCACTAGACGACCGATAGCATTCTTAAAACATAAGAAACTCATATATGATCACTGAGAACAATATAGCTACTGTCAGGCGACTAATTGAAGCAAAACCTGTGTATCACCTATGAGTAGATTCGAGGAAATTTGTGTATTGGTGGGCTAAATTCAAAAAAAAATTACATCATTATTTAAAAGTTATAAAAATTCGATGCCGCTGGATTCTTCATGAACTCACCCTAGAACAAAAACGGACTTGAGTTGGTTGGTTTAAAAATGTTGCTAAATTATGACCACGTACGATCAATGTTGTTTATGACATTGTGACAGGAGATGAAACAAGTGTTTTGTTATATTCCGGAAAGAAAACAACAGTCTTCTGTAAGGATGTTCAAAATCGAGTAAACCAACAAAATTAAAGTAGGCAAAAAGCGTGGGTAATAAACATATTTTTTACACAGACGGATCCTGTATGCACAATCTCACTTGATTGACAAAAGACAGGTAATGTTGTTTGGTACAGCACAATTTGTTTGCCCCTTGTCTTTAAAAAGATAGTGTATTTAAATAAAACCAAGAATTCACATCCTATCGCAATAAGAAAATGCTTTGTGAACAAGGTCATTTTTGACTTTAAAAAAATGTGCTGCTCGCGTCCCATCCTACTCACAGTCCGGATCTCGTACCATGCGATTTATTTATTTTCCCAAAAATCAATAATTTCATGAGAGATTTATGGAGCTAAAATATGCCATGATAGCTTTTACCCAGCACGTGAAACACAGACCAATGTACCTATGATAAAAAAATGGTTTGAACGAATAAAAAACTGTTTAAAATGTAATACAGAATATAATATAATATTTAAAAAGTGGTTTTATGCAATAATGTATTTTAAAAAACATATTAACGTAGATATCTCAGTGCATAACAGTAGGACACGGAAGCATCACTGACACGGGCCAAGGCCATGGAGATTTGAGCAAGTGACAAGCAGTTACCCATGAGATCCACTTCCTGAAGCCCTTCCCTCAAGCAAATAAGCTTTAAGAAGCATCTAAGCCACTAAATTACCTCACTTAAACTAACATTACCGTTAAAAAGATATGGAGAATTTTTATTCAAACAATTAAAAGAGAACAGTGACACTTGTCGGTAAATGTCCTAATAAGTAATAAATAAAGAAATCCTATTCAGTTTTAAATATTGGAGCTCAAAAAATTATTCTGCCTAAATTACAACCTCGCTAAAAAGAAAAATTAGATGAGTAATTGACGAAACAAAAATATCATTTTTGTGTTTCCAAATAATGAAAAGACATGTTTTGAGTAATTAGGAGCGTAGCGAGAATATTATTGAATTTGTAACGAAATTTTTAACAAATTAAATTATTAGCGAAAGAAGAAACAAGGTAGCTCAAGAGATTTGTGCCTTTATACTCGGATACTCCAAGTTCGATCTCCACTGGAACCAAAGTGTTTGATTAATTAAATTGCCATGTGCTCGGAGGACATGGAAAACATTGTTAGGAAACTTACACTTACAAATGCGAAAATAACTAATAAAATATTCCCATCAACACGCACTGGGGCAGCGCAATGAACCCTACTTGTCCAAAGAAACTATCTAATGTGAAAATGCATGTGCCCAGTAGTGTAATCTAATTAGACTGTTACTTATCCGTAGAAAGTGGATATCGAACATCTTTAATTTAGATCAAATTTTTTATCTTTTAATAAAGATTTTTAAGAATTACATAATACAATTTATTATAAGTTATTTCATCAATAAAGAATACAAAGATTAGCAACATATATGAACCACATCTAAAGAAGAGAAAAATACAACCTTTATTTTTGCATCACCCTAAACCGATAAAGGCCACCTCCACCACAACATGGCGCCCCAAATTACCGCGCGAATTCCATTGAATCACTTCGTCATTTTTCACGATTATAATTTTTTTACACTTGATTATATTTTTGTAAATTATACATAAATGTAAAACTTTTGTTCGGAAAGACACCATTCTTATTGCTTGGCACAACCCTTACTTGGTTATAATCGAAAAAAAGCTATATGTTTTTTCCAGGTTATAAGATATTATAACCACGACACGTTATGTCAAAATCCATCCAGTAGTTTAAATTTGCCCTCGGGACAGTAATAATAGTAGAGGTAGATAGATATGTCAAATCATAGGATTAGCTTACTTATACTTGTAGTAAAGAATTCATTTTTTTTTAATAAAAAGCCAAAATGTCATAAGAATATTTTTTTTAATTATGCAAGTTTTAATATAAAAGATGCAGCTGATAACTAACGAGTATCTGGTCAAAACATTGAAAAATCTCAAAATATATGCGCATAATTCCTACGCAGGATAGACGATCTGTGAGAACAGATGCGATACTTTGTTATACCAGCGCCAATACTGCTAAAACTGCTCTCTATAACCAGTCTGTGCGTGATAAGCCAAATTGTTGTGGGTGAATTTTCCGACATCGGTCGATTGATACAGCTTGATCTATAAGTCAGCAGGATACATGCAGTGCAGGTGAGTTTGATATTTAGAGGAAAAGTTTGTATTATCTCCCTTACACTACGAAATTTTACCATTATGCATGTAAAATTAATCATTGTAAGGTTTTAACACTACACATGTATCTTATCTGGTTTTATTGAAACATTTAAATTTAATAATCCTATTAAAATTGAATTTGACAACGAAAACCCGTCAATTATTGGTTATAACATCCCTGTCAGACTAGTTTCAAATCTTGCTTTTATATAAATAAGCAATAAGGTAATGTGGTGGCGCTGTATTCATCTCCACGTTAAATTAGAGTGGTAGTGTATTTCCAAAGAGATAAGTGAATAATGATTTGACATTTACTTTAATTTATTAATTTTATAGTCTTTTTAAATGCAATAACTTTAAAATGTCAAATCTGTCTCTAATGTGAAGGCAAAAGCCTTATGTCTAGATAAAGTTTTTTTAAATGTCTGTGCTAATTACTTGCATTTAAAGCAAATGGTAAGAGCAATTTATTTTATTACTTTCATCCACTTACTGAAGTTGTTTAATTATTTATTTGTTTACTTTGTCACGCAATCCTGCACTAAGCGTTGTCACGGTTTTAGGGTAAACGTTAATCTGTATGTAATTCGATTAGGAAAAATATTTAAAGTTACAGCCTATGTACATCCCAGTGCTGGGCAAAGGACTCCTCTCATTTCTGAAAGTATACATAAAAATATAAATTAAACGTGTAGCCCCCTCTAAGTATTGTGATGAAACTAAAAGATTATTGGTTTGCTTTTTTTTCACATTTCGGATAGCGAATGTATAAAATTAGCAGCGGAACTGTTTTATTACCTATATTGTGAGGTATGCTAATTTTTCTGTCTGACCTTGCAACTCGATTCTAGGATTCTGTTTCTGATCCAATTTTTGGTGTGTCTCAAATAAAATTTATTATACATCTATATGTTAATTAAGGCAATGCGGAAAAAATTTTTACGAATATTGGTTGTTATCTTACAAAAATGTTGGTTACTTATGATACATTATCTGATCTAGTTTCAGATCTAAACCATAACCTGCAGAGTAAACAACTTCTCGATCGTGGTGTGAAAAAACTGTTATTATAAAAAAATTGGTCTTGTCAGCAATAATTCTAGTAAACAATTTATTATTTTAAAACTATGAAGAAAATGCAGCAAATCGTAAGTAAACATTTTTAATAGCAATAGTATATAAACTGTTATCATAATATGTAATTATTTTAACAAGGTATTTTTATATATTCATAAAAAATGTATGCTTATAACTATTATTTTGTTGTTCACATAATTACTATCATCACTACAGACCATCACAAGTCCGCTGCTGAACATAGGCCTCCTGCAAGGAATACCAAACCGTTACTTCATCAAGTGGCAAGTTGCATTGTACTTTGCTTACGTACGAGTTGTGTCGAAGTTGTGTAATTCTCATTGCATGAATTTGGATATCTCTTTGTTCAGTTGCAAATATGCTGTTATAACTGTTGAAGATTGTAGCTTCATTTCTCATCTTACAGCCTTGGGAATAGAATTAGATCTTGGGAATAAATAAAAATTTATAGGACAGTTTTAGGGTACTTCTGTAACGAAATTTGTAGAATTTTGTCTCAACCACCGCTGAGCTGTCTTTTTTATTTTATATTAAAAGGTAAATAATATAATCAAAAGGTTACGGACCTCCGAAGAGTGGCCGTGATGTTTGGAGTCGGAACTTAAGTGGATGCTTTTACCACTAGCGGTTTGGAATACGCCTCGGCGCTCTTGAAGTTGTGATGAGAAATTTTTTTGAAATACTCAAAGATGTTTGAAAGTTGGCAGTCCCAGTGCATATCGGAGTTTACCACTAGGCTCCGGTGACTTTGCGAAAGAAGCTATTTTGTACAAATTAGTTTTGGACGCGTTGGTGACGGCTACGCTTGCGTATGACATAAAAAGTCTTACGCAAGTTTTACATACATGTAACTTGTGTCTTAAGGACAGTTTGCTCTTGCGGTTACTGACTAGTGGATAGAGCCGGCTAGCAACGAATTTGGCTCGGACATTGCAATTGTCTTTCGCGAAGGACATACCGTGGTAAATTTAACCTCTATAATAAATACCTAGGTATTTTGCTGTTGAATGCCAGTGGATCTAGCCGAATAACGTGATCTTACCTTACGATTTTGGCGGATTTATTTTTCGGCGAGTGAGAGAAGGTTTCCTTTGAAAGTGATTACTACACTTTTCTTAGGATTTACTTCAATTCACCATAGGCTTCTTCATTCGCCTATCTCCCGGCGACTCTTTGAAGCATCTTAGTGAGTAATTTCTTATAGTAATGGGCAACGAAGAAAGCTTTATCATCGGCAATGAGAGTAGTATTGACTATGGGGTTTTTCGGGTTGTCACTCCTGAAGAGTGTAAAGAGGAGCGGGGAGAAGATGAAACCCTGTGGAACTCTAGCCCTAAGAAAGCCAATTGTTGTGCCAGACTTTGTCAAACTCCTTTGCGACATTGAAGGAGAGGGCATCAGTATTGAGGGCTCGGTGATTACTCGAGGTAGAGAAGCCTCCCAGAATATATTCTGTAAGGCAATGAATCTGGTTTATGCACCAAAGTTTGATTCTAAATCCAAACTGCTCGTCAAGAATAAGCTTGTTTGCGAGGACGTATATTCGGAGGCGATTTGATATGAGTCGCTCGTAAAATCCCCAATGAGCTTAAGAGACTGATTCTTTTTATTTACCTGACGTTCATATCAGATTAGTTTTGTATCAGTAATGTAGAAGTGCTGTATTTGTTTTGTTAACATTTAAATAAAATATTAATTTTGCTACATTTTAAATTAACTTTTCAATCGGTTCATTCTCTCTGAATATACTTGGTATATTCACAAAAAAGTCCCAAATGGCAGTCTTTCATTTATAATTTAAGCCCTTGCACTACTACAAGAACGTATTGGCATCTAATCATTAAAATTGAACTCCATAGTTACTTAAGTTCAGTATAATCAAAATGAATAATTAAGACATAGATAAATAAATTACATTGAACTGTATAAATAGACGTAAGAATTTAGATATTCATTTAACTATTTATGTAATTGTATTATTATTGTTAATATCAAATTTAATAAACATACAGTGGATTTTGTAAGACTCAAATAGTACCATTTAACTCCGGTTGTTTTCCACGACCCCATTAATTTATTTTCTCTCAACATTAAAGAAACTTTAAGTGATTTTAGTACCCAACAAATTATATAACTTGTCTTCAAGTATTCCTCCGGTCGCTGTCTCACAATCCCAGGCCCAAATCCCCCCCCCCATCGACATGGTAGCGGAATTAAATGATGATAGACTACCCCAGGAGGGTACCAGCACCCCTGGAGAATCCCTCGCTGAGCATCCATGACCATGTTTCTCCACTTCTGAGCGTGGGTGCTCAGGCTGCCCCGCGTATTCTGGGGGGGGGGGGGGCAAAATTCCGCTCAAGACTACAACTGCTCGGGGCAAACGGAGCAACAAGAACAAGGTGACCCCTGCCACGCTGTCCGTGAATTTCTGCAATATCAGGGGACTAACTTGGTCATCATCTCGGGCCATCTTTCTGACCGAGACGCAGGTGTCCTCTTCGGCTGTCTCGTATCTCTCCTACCCGGGGTACAAACTGGAACACTCCTCTGTGCCTCGGGCTGGAGTTTGCGTTTACCTCAGAGAGGACATCTGTTCTCGACGCCTCGGCAGACTTGAAGGTTCGGACCTGTCCATCCTTTGGCTACGCGTAGATAGCGACGACCATCCGCGCGTTTACGGGTGCCTCTATAGGTCCCATAGCGGTAATGCCGAAACAGACCGACTCTTCGACCACGTCCAAATGGCTACAGATTCATTGCTACAGCAGATCCCCTCCGCAGAGATCATGATCCTCAGCGACTTTAACGCCCATCACGCCGAATGGCTTGGTGTACGTTTAACCGATCATGCGTGGAGATCTGTTCATGATTTTGCCTTGGCATATGGTCTGACACAACTGGTTACTTCGCCTACGCGGATTCCAGATGTGGAGGATCATGCACCTTCCCTGTTGGACCTCATCTGCTGGAGGAGGACGTCTCACCCGGACGGATATCAGATTTCCGTCGACGCCCCTTTAGGCTCCTCGGACCATTGTCTTGTCCGGTATATGGTGCCAGTCACGCTGAAATCGCAGTTTTATTCTGCAGGCTGCCGCTGTGTTTGGCACTATAGGTCAGCCGATTGGGATGGGATGCGGTCTTTCTTTGCATCCTACCCTTGGGGGCGGGTTTGCTTCTCGCCGGACGATCCCAACGTTATTGCGGATTCTGTCGCTGATGTGGTACTTCAGGATATGGAACTTTTTATTCCTCTGTGGTGCCCATTGGAGGCAAATCTCAGCCATGGTTTGGTCGCTCCTGTAAAATAGCATCATGCTATAAGCAGGAGTGCTACCAAGCCTGGGCTGACGCATCAGCGTCCCGGGATGTAAACAGCAGCGCTCTAAAAAAGAAGTATAATTCCGCCTCTAGGTCCTTCAAAAGAGTCATTGCCAAGGCAAAGTCAGAGCACATAGACAGAATTGGCGAGAAACTAATTCGCCTTCCTTCTGGAACCCGTGCATTCTAGTCTCTCGCCAAGGCTGTCCAGGGGAATTTCTGTCAGCCATCTCTTCTTCTTCATGTCAGACTCACTGGCCCATACCGCAAAGGAGAAAGCTGATCTTCTAGGCTCTTCTTGCGTCCAACTCGACTCTCGACGACTCGACACTCCTCTCCCTGGACATCCACAAGTCGAGTGGGCCTGACGGAATCCCCCAATTGTGCTAAGGATGTGTGCTCCAGAGTTGGCACCGGTTTTAACGCGTCTTTTCCGGTACTCCTACTCCCTAGGCGTAGTCCCAAAATCATGGAAGACGGCTTTCGTCCACCCGATCCCTAAAAAAGGCGACCGCTCAGACCCGTCCAACTACCGGCCTATCTCCATCACCTCCTTGTTCTCCAGAAACAATGGAGTCCGTTGTAAACTGCAAGCTCATGAGGTACCTTGAGGATCACCAGCTGATTAGTGACCGCCAATACGGTTTTCGCCGTGGTCGGTCAGCTGGTGATCTTCTGGTCTACCTAACTCACAGATGGGCGGAGGCAGTAGAGTTCAAGGGGGAGGCATTGGCCGTTAGTTTGGACATTGCAGCCTACGATCGGGTTTGGCACAAAGCGCTTCCTTCGAAGCTCCCTACCTATGAGCTTCCCGAGAAATTGTGCGATTGGATCACCAGCTTTCTTGCAGATCGGAGCATCAAGGTCGTTGTAGACGGTGCAAGCTCCGATTGCAAGCCTATTAATGCTGGTGTTCCACTGGCTGCGTGCTATCGCCAACGCTGTTTCTTTTGCATATCAATGATATGTTGCAAAACCGTAACATTCATTGGCATGCAGATGACAGCACTGGTGATGCTCTTTACACCGGCCGAGCCAATATTTCTCGGGAAAACGTCTCCGAGTATTTACTGTTAATGAGTGCTGGAACTCTTGTTTCATAATGGTCTCAAGTGCCGATGTTACTTAATCTAATAAGGCCGGTAATTCAGCCTGGTAAACAATACATTAGTCCGAAAGTTTAAGCTTTAGAGTTCGGATCGCGACTGCACTATTCGTAATAAAAATTGCTGCTCCGACTTTACCCTCTATTTTGCTTCCGTCTGTAAATATTCAGAGAATCGCAGTAATATTAGGAAATAAACTTTGGCGAGTTTATTTTGTCTGGGATATTTTCTAAGTGCTGGGAGATCGTAGACTCTAGAGTTTGAACTTGAGCTTACGCCAGTCCACGATGGTGTTCGATGTGACAAGATATTGGTTCTAGCACCTCATTACGGTATTTTTCAGCTGTCTTAGTGCTCTGTATCCAAACAAGGTCTGATCTTCCACTGAAACCAATTCCTCTCCACACCATAATTGTAACATCTTTGTATGGATGAACTTCTTGTAGGCGTTGAAGTCGATTTGAAAGACCAAGAACTCTCCAAGCAAGAACTCTCCTCGAATCAGGATGAAAACCTAATTGGTATTCATCGGTGAAAAGCACCAACGACCATGAATGAGGTTCCCAGTACACACGTTCTTTAACCCATTGCAGTCTTCGTCCATGATTTCCTCTTCTTAGAACTGGAACCCGAAATGGTCTACGAGCATGAGGGTTAGTTTCGTGCAGTCTCCTCCTCACAGCTTGGTCACTCACAAATCTTGGGACCAGCATGTTTTATGTGATTACTCCTAAAGCCTCTGTCTGAGTGTAGTCTTCGCCATTTTATCCGTGGTACGATAGCGTGAAATAACCTCAAAATCACATTTGGCCTGGTGGCTATTGCCGCAACTACGTCATATTGAAAATTGCATTGACACTGCTCTTATCATCTCTTCTCCAGTTAAATGTCGACGATGCATTGCAATAAAATATCGAATTATCACAATCGATCCAAGTAGAATCAAAAAGATATTTAAATAGTGGGTTTCAACAAAGTAAAACAAAATTTACTCTGAGTACAAAATTCGCTACCTCTAGTTTTACCTCAAATACGTTGTATTTTTTCTTTTTGTTATATTTGCAATTAATCTTGGATAAATGATGAATAGGACCATGCTTTGACGATATACGAAATTTGATCAATACTTTAAAGTGCCCCAAATTATTTGCCAAAAGTTCTAAATGGTACTGCTGTGCTTGTACTCGTGCCCAATTCATTATTTTTTTAATGTTTCAGGTATTAGTACTGTCAATATTAAGTGCAGTTTTTTGCTCTCCGTATGACGATGGTAAATATAGACCAAGATCATATTATGAATATGACGATGGTAAATACTATAGACCACTCGATGAAGGAAAGTATATACCTGGAGATGAAGGAAAGTACACTTATATTTATAAACAAGGCACTTGGCCCTTTGATGGTTCATATATGCGTCAATATGGATTCAACGGTGAATATGACCCATACATGGGTTACAGAATATATGCCAGCCGATATCCTCACTTATACGGCGTAATTAACGGGTTAGTAAGCTAATATGTCCCTTTAGATAGTTTAGATTTCGTGAAAGCTACAGATAATAGTATAAATCACTATCGTTAAATTTATTCTGATAAGGAATTGGCAATTTTTGAAGTGCAAATACATAATGCCCGAATCAAACGTAAAGGAATTTATAACACTTTTAATATATATAAAAATTTGTGAGTGATTTGTATATTGTAACGATTGACTGCCTACGCTTTACGATACTCACTCTCATTCTCACTCATTTTTACTCATATTATATGCTTATGTGGAAATTCAACAATAAATTTGTCAAAGAGAATGAAATATTTCTGAAATATTTGTTTATAAAGTGGTATTATAATATTACGTTAAAATATACTAAATTACGCGAATGTGTCTCTTAATATGCTCTATTTCTTTATAATTGAAACTTAATTTAAGAAATCGGTAATAATCGTTGTAAATTTTAAAAGTGGAGCAAGTTTAGTGCGTTGAGACAGAGTTAGTTATTAAATCACAGTGGTATTCGTATCAGAAGCAAAAATCATCTAGTTTGATGATTTTGAGGGTATTTAAAAGAAACAAATATAATTTAATAATATTGGTAATAGTGATCGTCCAGATGATGAAGTTGGACCATAATTGATATATTTTTAAGATTGTATATTAAGCAAACTGTATTTTACTTTCAAGAAAGTACAAAACAAACATTTTTTGGCTTGACACACTGCACAGACTACAAAAACGGAATATTTGAAATCAATCTGCCAGTAATTATATGTTGCTGACGACAATCTCTACACTGTGCGTCTGTTTAACCACAGAATATTAGGTGTTCACATTGGCCTTCTCATACTTCTGGTACTTCTTCTTATTATTTCGTATAAACGTCAACAAACGACATATTTGGCCAAGCGGTGTTTACGTGTTTCATTCATTCATTCTCTATATATTTATATAGGGAGATCAGTGGTTTGATGCCATTGTTATTATGAGCGAAGACAATGTACAATTTATTTTAATTAATTTAATATATTTGCAAAACATATATTATACCAATTTTAATTTTTGCTACTTCATATCTATACAAATTTTAACTATGCCAAATCTCACTCTCCAGTTAGCACAATATTATGCTTAAAAAGGGTTACAAGTTTTCCTTTCACTTTATAATATATAAATTATAATTATGAATTTAAATAATTATTACCAAGCAATAGAGCCCAGATAAACAGAAATGAGAATATAGGGCTGGTGTTCATGGAAACAATAAGAGGGCAGTATTTTGTTAATATAGTTTGCAATTCAGCACCTCGGCGAGAAATCGAACATCGGTTTCCCGTGTATTGCAGCGTAGATACTTAACGATGCATGTGGACAGGCGTAGACTACTATACTATAAGAATCCCAGGCGAGGACACTAGCTTTCTTATATAAAATTAATAGTGTAGAAACATTTTGCATCAACTTCTGATAGCCTCTGATTAAATATGATGTATTTTGCTTCTGAAATAATACTAGATGATTTAACCGTTATGTATTGTAGGCAATGAGGTCAAGTATCTCTAGTCCGTTTCTCACCCTAGGTTGTCTGTGTAGTATACCATCAAGTTTCCTGGATCATTTCTTAAGGCCCCCAACACACGGAATATGCGTCTCATGTTGATAGATGTAAAATACACATATCCAGTGGAAAACTTGCACTGCGATCGTGATTTGTAGAATATTGTTGTAAATTACTATTTCATAATGGTATGTTACACATATTTAAGTTTCATTTAAAAATAAAGATTGACAAGTTGTTAAGGTTGCCAAACAAGTTTGGCAAAGTCCAAACCTATATTCATATTAGTATTTTTATAAAAATGTATTTTCTAAATTATTAAATTTATAATTAAATACTTAAGTTTATTATTATTGTGGGGTATCTTATAGTTTTCTCATCTGGTTGGGTTCTATAAATATATAAATATGAAAATGAAAAGATAAATATACATAAATATCAATAAAATAAAATAAATACAAAAATACATAAATAAATAGGGGGGCTGGGCAGAGACTACTAGAGGAATAATTTCGGTCGGCAGACCTCCCCACGTGTCGGTCACCTCGTGAGAGGTCCAGATATTTTGTTTTCTTATCTGATTCGGCTTTCACTAGGTTCTCGTCATATGGAATGGTAATGTCGACCAGAAGTATCCTTGACTGTGCCCGGTACATCAGCACAATACCAGGTTTATTCGCAAGAATAGTCCTGTCCGTGATGATGGGCCGGTCCCAGTAGAGCCTGACGTGGTCATTTTCGAGCAGGGCTTCCGGTAAGTACTTATAATAAGGCAGTTTCCAATTCACAAGACCGTATTTCAGAGCGAGCTCCTGGTGTAGAATCCTGGCTACTAGGTTGTGCCTGTGCAAGTACTCAGTTAGAAAGCGCCGAACAACTGGAGATGACATGCCTAAGTGATTCACTGTGATGGCGAAAAGCTCGACAGATGTCGACGGTGCCATTCTTTAGGATGTATCTCCGATAGTTGTTGGTCTTAATAACCTGATCCTGTATTGCACAGACAAAACCCACGGTTTCCCCGAAGAGGTCACCGAAACGTAGCCACTGGAGGGAGGCGACTGAATCTACGAAGGGCTCATGTAGAGCCCTGTAGTACATCCCATGAAGCTCCTTCTCCTTCCATACGGTCTCCTGGTTGGAAATACTTTGTACTGCCGGGTCCTGCCATTGCTCCTTGGCTAAGGATAGAAATGAGATTGACTTCATTATGACGACCAGACGCCAACTGTTCAGTGATGTCTCAGTGATCGCAAGGGTGAAAACTGGCAGCGATCACCGAATGGTTAGAGGCACACTGAACCTAAACGTTAAGTTGGAGAGGTCTCGTCTAATGAAGTCAACGCTCCGTCCCCCTCGTGCTCTAATCCAGAATCCCGAAAACTTTCAGCTCGAGTTACACAACCGCTTTCAGTGCCTACAAGATTGCAATGCAGTGGACGATATGAATGACAAGCTCGTGGAAACTGTCCATGCGGTCGGAGCTAAGTTCTGCAAGACCCGCCGCAGAAGAACACAAAAACTCTCCGATCACACTCTTGATCTCATGGCTGTTAGACGGGAGATGAGGCTGCAATCGTCAACAGATTTGACAGCATACAGGCAACTGAACAGACAGATCTCCAAATGCATGCGGCGAGACTTACGCAACTTTAATACTGCTCGTATTAAAGAAGCGATCGAGCGGAACCAGGGCTCCAAAGTCTTTGCCAGAGATCTGTCTGCCCGTAAGAGCCAACTGTCAAAGCTGAAGACTGAGTGTGGCAGCATCGTTTCCGGGACACCTGAGATTTTGAGTGAGATTGAGAGGTTCTATGGGCAGCTGTACACATCATCGTTGGAGCCACATGCAAGTGTGAGTAACGATCCAAGAGCAAGTCTTATCCGACACTATTCCGATGATATCCCGGACGTCAGTCTAAGCGAGATTAGAATGGCTCTCCAGCACCTTAAAAACGGCAGAGCCCCAGGCGAGGATGGAATTACAGCGGAGCTTCTGAAAGCGGGTGGAACACCGGTACTTGAAGTCCTTCAGAAGCTCTTCAATTCCGTCCTCCATGGTGGCACTACTCCAGAGGCGTGGAGCAGAAGTGCGGTGCTCTTGTTCTTTAAGAAAGGCGACAACGCTCTCTTGAAGAACTACAGACCGATTTCCCTTCTGAGCCGCGTCTACGTGCTGTTTTCGAGAGTCATTACGAATCGTCTCGCACGCAGACTCGACGACTTCCAGCCTCCCGAACAAGCCGGTTTCCGAAAAGGCTTCAGTACCATAGACCACATACATACCCTGCGGCAGATTGTACAGAAGACTGAAGAGTACAATTTGCCACTTTGCCTGGCGTATGTGGACTATGAGAAAGCCTTTGATTCCGTCGAAATTTGGGCGGTGATGCAGTCCCTTCAGCGGTGCTAAGTTGACTGTCGGTATATCGAAGTGATGAAGTGTTTGTACAGTAGGGCTACGATGGCTATCCGAGTACAGAACCAGAGCTCGAAACCTATCCAACTGCAGAGAGGTGTAAGACAGGGTGACGTTATATCCCCGAAACTCTTCACCGCTGCTTTGGAAGACGTTTTCAAGCTGCTGGACTGGAAAGGATACGGTATTAACATCAATGGCGTGTACATCACTCACCTTCGATTTGCCGACGATATAGTCCTTATGGCAGAATCGCTGGAGGACTTAAGCACTATGCTCAATGACCTCAATAGTGCCTCCCAACGGATAGGTCTTAAGATGAACATGGACAAAACAAAGATCAAGTTTAATGTCCATGTCACACCTATGCCGGTAGTTGTTGGGAGCACTATGCTCGAAGTTGTTGACGAGTACGTTTACCTGGGACAAATAGTCCGACTAGGTAAGTCCAACTTCGACCGAGAGGTCAATCGACGGATTCAACTCGGCTGGGCAGCGTTCGGGAAATTACGACACATCTTCTCGTCAGGTATACCTCAATGTCTGAAAACTAAAGTGTACAACCAGTGCGTGTTGCCAGTGATGACTTATGGATCAGAGACGTGGTCCTTCACTGCTGGCCGTATGAGGACGCTCAAGGTCGCTCAGCGAGCTATGGAGAGGGCTATGCTCGGAGTTTCTCTGCGTGATAGACTCAGAAATGAGGATATCCGCAGTAAAACCAGAGTGACCGACATAGCCCAACGGATTAGTAAGCTGAAGTGGCAATGGGCCGGCCATATAGCTCGAAGAACCGATAACCGATGGGGAAGAAAGGTTCTCGAGTGGCAGCCTCGTACCGGTAGGCGTAGTGTAGGGCGACCCCCCACTAGATGGAGTGACGACCTGGTAAGATATGCAGGAAGTCGATGGATGCAGGTGGCTCAGGACCGTGCTTTGTGGTATTACTTGGGTGAGGCCTATGTTCAGCAGTGGACTTGTGAAGGGCTGTAATGATGATGATGAATTATAAGGATAGAAGGGTAAGCCCT